GCTTTAGCGATTGATTTTGAACAGAATTTAATTTGTATCCTTTATTTCTATTGAGGAAAAAAGAGCTTGATAACTTTCCACAGAAAAAAGATTTTGTTAACTATACCCCCCCATCCCCTATGGTACCTTGTAACGAATACCCCCCCCCCCTTTAAAGAAAGAAATGAAGGAACAGTTAAGCATATACGAATTTTGTACCTCGTTAACTATTCCCCACCCCTGTTGCAATGGGGGGGGGGGGGGGGTAATGGTTAACAATATCCCAGAAAAGTAACACGCCATTTTTGGTTCCATTTTTTGGGACCAAGAAGTTAGAGATTTCTTTGTGAAGAAACAAACTACTTTTTTAACTAAAACAAAATGAATCAAAATCAATCTTTTTCACGAATATCATGATATTTAATGTAAATCCTCAACCAGTGATCTTTTCAACTTTGACTTAAGATCTCGATAACTTCCGGTAACATAAAATTTATGTACCAAAATGGTATTTACGTATTCAAATTATGTCTGGTGAAAAAAAATATTACGATCGCAAATATTTAAATTATCAGCTACAGACAGTACGAACATGTATCAACCCAGTTTTTGCGAATCGCTGGTTGAGGATTCAAATTAAATATTAAGATACTCATGAAAAAGATTGATTTAAAAAAGTTGTTGCTATTTAAGCACAAAAAATACAAAATTGCATTACAAGTGTTTCAAAAAGAAATCTTTTACTTCTTGGACCCAACAAATAGCTTCTGATTTAAATCATTCCAATCTCCTTTGAATGTTTTTTTTTCAGTTCGTTTGTTAAAACTTTTTTTATATTATATTAATTTTCTAGAGCACATTAGCATGCTTGTTGAACAAAATTACCTAAAAACTATCTAAAACTTTTCAACTACACGAAAAATACAAAAGAAACAATTCATTATTTCCCAGAAATTCTAGTGTTAAAGTTTCCGGTGTTAAAAAAGCGACAAACATAATTGTCGACCTTTTTGTAAGTCGATCAGAAAGATTTTTTGAGCGCTGCCAGAACACTATAAAAACTTTTTTGACAAAAGTTTCTGCGCCGCAGGCAGTTTTTGGGAAAAAAACACAGTTCAAAATGCCGTTTCTGGCCACTTTGTGGATTTTTTTGACCAAAAAATTGCAATTGCAATTTTTAGCGCGCTTCCTCCTTCAAATTAGTAAATATTGGCAACCAAGGCGCCTCTAAAAATCATTGAGATTGATCGCGGAAAATGGATGTCAAAAAATAATCCAATGCATGGACCCTTTGGTTGTTGAGGGGTTCGACTCCCTGCGAAGGGCTTCCAACAAAGACCCCCCAAGTCCCACAAATCCGACCCCCCCCCTAAATATTTGCTTGCGGTGGTTTTTTATTCAGACCAGTTTCGTCTTTTATCAAAAATGTTTTAACCGAAATTAGGCCATTTTTCAGTCTGGCAATTCTCGATACCATCTGAAAGATACCGATGTAGAAAATATTCAAAATTATGCTCAAACAATTAATATTTTTTCTAAAGGTTCTTTTTCATGAAATTATGGCAATTTGTTAATTTCGAAACATTCATATCTTATTTTTTCGACCAATAACATCCACCAATTTTTTCTTCTCGATTTTGGCTTCCTCAAAAAAACTCATTGAGGATCAAGTGTGGTATCAAATTAAAGCCCTTTAGGTCATGATCAGGCGCGGGTTCTAGGGGAGGGGGGGGGGCGTATTTTTAAAAAAAATTGATAATTGTCGATTTTTTTAGGTCGACCAAATCACTATAAAGAACCTATATGAACCAAATTTTCTGCGCCACAGGCAAGTTTTTCAAAACACAGGACAAAACAGGCGTTTTTACGCACTTCTTTGGAAAATTTTGACAAAAGAATTGCGCTTTTCGGATCGCGATCCCCCCTCAAAATTAGTATAGGTTGGCGTCAAAGGCACTTTTAGAAAACTTTTAAGGTTAGTCTGCCGAAAATGGGCATCTCAAAAAAGTACATTTGGATCGGCAGTGGGTCGAATCCCAGAGGGAGGGCGTCCACCCCCTTCCCTTCTAAATCGGCCACTGTTCATGATTTAGATTCCGAAAAAAAAACTATTTAAAAAATGCTCTCAGTATCAAGAAAAATTAGTCTAATTTTTTTGGTTTTCAGGCTACTGACTGTTATTTTTCTAAATGAAATTTCTAGGTTTTCTGGTATTTTAAGAGAAATATCTGTTTTTTTACTGGTGCAAATGACTCATTAACCAATTCAGTCTCCAGTAGCTAAAAGAACTTTCAATTTATTTTTGTTCTTTATTTTTTTTTGCGTAGTCAGAACATTCTGGACTAATTGCTCAGCAACTGGTTATTTTTTTCTAAAGAACGGATTGCGCTGATGTTTTCCCCATCGCAAAAAGCGATCCGACGACGCAGGTCACAAAGTTTGTACGTGGTTAATCGTTGAATTAATCTTCTTAAGGGTGAGAATTCGTTACTATTTAGAATAGAAGAAAATTGTTAAAATTCAAAAGATCAAAATGAAATGGAAAGCAACTTCCATTAGAATCAATGATGTCCATTTAATTTTTAAAAAAATCGAAAAACTTTAGTGAACTTGAATTTTTTTGTCAATTTGAGTTATTCTGAATTCCACTAAAAATTCGCTGTGATTTTCTGTTCTTGATTGAAAATTTTTCCATCCATCTTCCAAAGTATCTCTAATACTTTAATACTCTCGATGAAGACCTGTCAAAATATTGAATTGGGTGGCGATTTAAATCTCTTATTGGGTGACGTTGACTTTTATGCTTAGGCGTTCTTATCGTCTCATTCTTACGCCCGGTAGACAAATACCCGGTATTACTCTAAATGATTAGACACCGTATAAATATATCACTTGAGTTATCCCATCAACGGGCTATTTTGAAGACTGGATTATTTTAATTGGGGAAAAAAGGAGAGCATTGGGACAAAGTGGAAAAATTAGATAACTAATTTTAACAAAATTATCCAGACTGAATTTGCAAATTTGCAAAAAAAGTTGCGTCTACAATATCGTTCTGTTTGAAGACAATAAATTATTAACGGATATTAACTTTTGTCTGATATGCCTGCAAGTTTTATTAAAAACATTTGAGAATATGTGATTTTTTTAACTTGTAGAAATTTACAATCTCGATTTTTCTGGTCAAAAGGAAAATGGAAGGCTATGATTTAGTATTGTTGAATGTTCGTTCTATTAAAAGCAGTGTTTTATCGATTTTTTTTGGAGGAGGAGAGGGGGAGTTTTTTCAATTTTGTCGACGCGCACTTCAGCCAGTCATTTTTATATTCTGAATTTTCGCGAAGCACAAAAGGCGTCTTTTTTGTAAATTTAAGAGGGCTTGAACAATAAATCCATTTTTTCAGAGAGTGCATTTTGCTCCAAAGACTTCAAGCCAAAGCACCCCCCCCCCGTTCAACTTACAGCCCCATCATCCCCCCCCCCCCCCGCAAAATGCGCTGCTGTTGAGAAATGAGAAACGTTTTTTTTTAAATTTCCTAATAGAGATTGGTTCTGTTGTTCTCTTGAGCAAGATATATGCCTCTAAGACTGGGACTGGACACCCAAACGGGGGCTAAGTAGCTAATCCTGCCCTCCTATCAGCCAAGTTCAATCTGGCCAAAGAGGGACTCTTCATTCGCTCCTATCAGATCTCTAACAGCAAAATCGGTTTCTTAATCGTGTTTCTATTATTTCAGATTACCAACTGCCAAAACCCGCCGCAACTCCGGCTCCCAAAAGCAAACAGCCTCCGTATTAACTTTGCATTACTACTGCATTAGATCTGGATTAAAGCACAGCTTGGGCTTAATTTGGGCACAGCTGGGTTTCGATCGGGTTTAATCCGGCGAGGCCCGGGACTTCTGCTGAGCCGGGCGCAACTTTACAGTTCGGGTTCCAAACTTTGTCAGAATCTCTTGTTAGACTTCACTGAGGGGATTTGGGTTGTAGAATTAGTATTACTTACTTGCTAAGTCTGCGGGTGATTGTAAAACGCGTTGCCTCTGTGATACCTCGCAATTGAATTAGGTTGCAGCATTCGTTTCGAGTCAATTAGCAAAGCCTGCCGACTTAAGTCACTTGCACGTGTTTAAGGGCGAAGGATCTGGCGCTTGAAATAATACCTGCCTTTTCACAGAGTTCTAGACAGATCGAAAGCAGATGTCTTATTCGTATCTGTGTACTGCATTTTCTCAAGGGTATAGTTATAAAATCTGCCCGAATATGCCATGGTATAAAGTAACTCCCAAAATTAGGATCACTTTTGACTTAAATTAACACCTGGGGTATCGTAAAAGTATGGATTGAGTTTAAGCAGTTGTCAGTTGTATTGTAGTAGATTATATATATTGTGAATGTGGGCGAAAGCCGAAATCAAACATAAATTTTGAAATTTTTCGGTTCACTTTTTGGGATTCGAAACCTTTTTTCGTCCCGTATTAAAAAAGGGAGGGGAAATTTTTTAATATCAAATGTTGAATTAACTCTTTGTAAGGGTGTTTTTTTCTTATTTTAGGTACCATAAGAGGGCAAATAGTTGAAGATATCTATTGCTCTTTGACAAAACCAAACGATTGACAAGTAAATTTTTTAATTAAGTTCAATTACGATTTGCAATTACGTTCAATAAGATTGATAGTTTCGTTTTCCGATCTGTTTTTTTTTTGTTAATTGGAACTTTTGTTCTCGATTTTCCCCTTGTTTCTTGTTAGCTTTATGTACATGGTGGCTAATAAATCAAAAACTTAACTTCAAACAATTTTCGAAGATGACTTTCGCGTATTTTTTAGTGTCGTCTTCGTATTTCTCTTATATGCTAGTTTGGGTTCTATAATATTGGTTACAACACAATAAGTTTTAAACTGAAAAGTAAAAAACTAAAAAACGGCAAAATATTAGTAATTCTGAACAAAACTAGGCTGAAAACAAACACTTTTTACAAATATTTTTTCGTTTCTAGATCTGAAGTCGTTCACAGCCTAAAAAATTGTTAAGCTATTTTTTTCTCGTTGCATTTTGAGAGTTAATTAAACTTTATTTTTCCCCTTGTCTTTTGTTATAGTTGACTTTAATTCTGTAGGATCTCCTGAGAAGTCTAGCCGTGATCGTCAAAATCACTTGAATCTAACAATCCAACATAACAGAAGCCATTAACTCTCCCAAGGAATTAAAAACAGTTATCCCGCGGATTCTTTTTTCCACCTTGGACGGTGAGAGCGGGACTCGAACTGTTTGGAACCCGTTTCCTGAGAGCCCTGTTTTCCATAGTCAAGTGTGCGAACGCTATCTTTCATTGCGACCTTTTGAGACTCTTGAATCGCTAAGTTATCCTTGTAATGTCGGCTCAAAACAACAAACAAGCACACCGCAAGAAAAAATAAACATTGTTAACATATATCTGTTTTTAAAGGAGTATTGAAAATTTTCGGTTTGAAGAAAGATTTACGGGATTTTTCTGTTTAGAATGCCACTGTTGTGCTAAGTCTGGATTTAAATGTCCAATAGGTCCACATCAAAGCTCCTCCAGTTACAATTTACAATAGTGTCCAAACAGATTGCGTCGACCAATCAGAGTCGAGATTCGGAGCTGTAAATTACAGATCGATTAAGGGGCAGCATCGCTTTTTGCTTTTTTATTTCTGCCGGCCATTTCACAATTACTCCAACCTACTTTTCAGCTGATATCAAAACAAAGAAAAAGCAACAAAAGCTAAAACTTTAATTCGATTTCTCAAAAAAAAACATTAAAAAGAGCTCATAACTTCTATATTTTTCTCCAAAGTTTCATCAAAATTTTAAATTTTGATAACTTTGCGAAGTTACTTGGGCACTTTTAAGGTAATTTCCTTTCCCAATACTTGCTATTGTTTTTCAAGTGTTCATTCCATTTTTTGTCAAAATACTCAAAAAAATACAATTTTCAAGTATTCCGGTTCTAGGGTCGCAATTTTTCCCTTTTGAAAGACTTTTCTTTAAGATAAGAGTCAACCATTCCTATAAATCCTTGCAACTCAAATCTTTAAAAATAAATTAAATTGCCCCTTTTCAAAAGTAGCAGTTTTTAAAATATAACAAAATTTATAATGTCCTTTTTTTGTTGAAGAACTGGAATTGGCTGAAACTTTAAAACCCAAACCGAACATCAAATCGGAACCCACGGATATTGAATTGACAGGAGAAGTCGTGACGTCACAGATCAAAAAGGAGAAAAAGTCGGAAAACTCGAGCCCAAACACCTCGTTTCCGGGTAAAATGACTGTCATCATGTCCGAAGACATTAGCATCTGGTCTGACAAGCATCAACAAAATCATTCCATTATTGGTTCACAGAGCCTAAGCGAACTATCTTCTGATTTCGTGCCTCCTAAAAACAACTTAGCTATGAACAAAATCCCGACAGCAAGCAACTCTGCGAATAGTTTTCAACCGACAAACCCTTGTTATCCATTAAGCAGGAGTTTTCCGCACATTGGGTTCCCTTCAAATCCTTTGGGTTCTTTGGGACCCATTAAGTCATTGGACTCATCAGCATCATCGAGTATGAAAGAAAACCAAAGTTTCCACCAAAATATGCCCAGAAATCATGCAATAATTAATCGTCAGAATCAGAGTATCAGCGCAAAAAACAACAATAATAACAACAACAGTATCAATCAGAATGAGCTACCTTGTCATCTGGAACCGCAAGGCTCTTCAGGAGTTGCTTTCTGCGAAGGATGTGGTTTGGCAATTGAAGATCGCTTCATGCTTCAAACAACTGGTAAGCTCAAGTTATAACAAATTAAAGTTCGCTATTTCTCTTTCTTGATTTCATTTTATTGCATAAAGAAAATAAAATTTAAGGTTTGAATTCCATTTTGAATGAAAATTATCTTCATTCTCTTTACCGATGAATGAGCCACTAGAAAAAAATCATTGAAATTAAATATTCTTCGAAAAAACTTTTTTACTTTGTTACGTTATCCATTCTCTAAGCAATATAGAAATTTTACGAAGCCGACCAACGATTTCTAAAATCAGTTGCTCTAAGTCTTTCAACATTCCAGATTCCTGAAACTGATCGTTGTACATAATTCTTTTATTTTTTAGACCGTCAGTGTTGGCACGAGAAATGTCTCAACTGCGCCGCTTGTGGGTGCAAACTCGATCACACTTGTTTCATCCGGAATTCGCAGCCATACTGCAGAAAAGATTACGAAAGGTCAGTTGTACTAAAAATCGAAGGGTATGGGGTTCAAATCCCGATCATGGCTTCTTAATCACAGTTAATTTTAACATCTTGGTGATAAAATCACAATTAAAAGCTAGCTTGCATGAGAGTCTTAGCTTATAAAAATTAAGAATTTCGCGGTATTTGCGCAACTTCATCACAGTAACTCTGCAGTTTTTATGACATGATCTAAAACGGTTTTACAGTGTTTTCGAGAGTGTTTCAAAATGGTTTTATGCTTTTTCACGTAAACCCGATAACATAGTTTTCTACTCATACAATGGCTCGAATGTTTCATGATTTGCATTTTTCTCATTGCGTTTTTTTAAAGTAAATAAACGTTAAAAAAACTTCATTTCATCAGGTATTGCGATAAACGCATGCTAAGTAGTGCCCTATTTGGAAAGATTAATTTTGTAAGTTCAATTTAGATTAAGTCAAAATGTAACTACTTAATGGTTATTTCAACATATAAGACCACCCTTATTCTGATTATTGGTATCGGATTAAGTTCAAGCGTTAATTGTCTAATGAATTTTTGGTTTCCCCACCTTAAATAATTAACCAATCGACCATGCTGTGTTTATTTAAGGCAAAACATTGAACTCTGTTGTTTAATTGCCCGCTCTTTCAAAATTTTAATAAAACTTGCCATCGAAATTGAAAAACAAGCATCAATTTGTTTCTTATCAGTCATTTTTCAAACTTCGATAAAACATTTCTCAAAGTTTAATGTAAAACTTGAGCAATTTGGGAAAGGATTTGAGCAATATTTAGGATAGGAACTAATAATGATTTTCGGTTTAGTTTGGTGTCGGGTAACTGCACTGGATGTGAGCTGAAGATAGCCTCGACTGAGATGGTTATGCGTGTGGCCGATAATATCTACCATCTCAACTGTTTCTCCTGCTCAGTATGCCGAATAGTGCTGAGAACGGGAGACCAGTTTGTGCAAATAGAGGAACAACTTTACTGCAAAACAGATTTCGAAAAACAATTCCCTCAATTCGCAATGCCAGGTGAGCTCACTAACTAACTGACTCTCGTACATTTAGCAGCGGCGATGTTTAAGTGACAAAGGTGGTCGTTGCCTCTCAGTCTAAAGGTCGAAGGTTCGAGACCAACCGTTATCAGTGATCTTACTTACTCCAGCGTAACTCCAGGCAAAACTCCAGGCAAAAATACTCCAGCGAAAACAAATTAACCCAAGAAAACTGTTTTGGATTTTCTAAAAAAATTTTAAAATTACTTTACCCCCTCCCCCCCAATCCAGCTCTTGGTCTGAAAATTTTAAAATTGCGTAAAAAACGAGATTTTTTGAAGAAGTTTAAAGATATGTAATAATAGGTAGTTTCGATTTTTCTGTCATGATTCATTTAACTTCTTTGATTCCCTTACCTTAGCTGAATATATTTCAAAAATTGGCTGTAAAAAACTTCAAATCAATTTCAACAGACATAAGCGGCAATTATTCAACCCTAATTCAAAAAACTGTGAAAATTTATTCAATGTAAATCGCGCCGATTATCTGATTAACGTTGAGCTTCGTTTAGTCTGTGAATTTTCTGGCAAATTTTCAGCCCTGTTTATTAATTTTGATAAATCATCTCCCGTTCCTGGCTGATATAAGTAATGAAAATGAAAAAAGTTGTCTGGATTTAATAAATCTCGCTTATTGAAAAGTGGGGTTAACTTTTCATGGGAGAGATTAGTGGGTGGAAACGTTACGGGCTTTCAACTTTTTTGTCTCGATAAATCCCTTATCTTTATTTTTGAAGCCTGCTAAATAAAGAAAAATGTTTGTATCTATTTATATCACGTACGAAACCCTAACGGCTATTTTGCCAGGGTTTTGACTTCAGGAAAAACACTTCCACAAAAATCTTAACATTCCACAAGTATCGAATTGCTTGTTTGTCTAGTTTTGAAAAATACAAAATTAAGATCAAGTAATTTAACGAGTAAGAGTTGATCATGACTTGTATGCTGGAATTCAAAGTGAATAGCAAAAATTTAAAGTATCCATTTTCTGTTTTCAGAAAAACAATCATCATCCGAAAACGACAACAGTCGAAAATTGTTCGATTCAATAGCCGAGAACGAAGGAAACTCGTGTTCCAATCAGAACTCAGATGCTTCCGACCCGAACTTAATGGACCACTTGTTCAAAAGTGAGCATTCGAATCACGAGCACGAGAGCGATCAGATCAAAACCGAGACGAACAGCGACAACGAACTCGACTCGGAGCCGAAAGACGACTCGGATGACGAAGCAGATCTGGAAAATTCCAAGGACAAAAACTCTTCCATTCAGCAAAAACCATGCAGAAAAGTACGTAAAATTTTAAAGTAATTAAATGTTTTTGTCTTTCTTAAGCTTAAGTCTTAAATTAGAAAATTCGTTTTTAAACTTTCCATGCAGAAAAATGTTTTAGTTTTTTTTTCGTTTTCTTAATCTAAATTTTTTGATTAGAAAGTTCATTTTCAGTATATGCATCTCAAATGATCATCAGAATATGAAATGAAGCTTGTATTAGCTAGTACATATTTTTGCCAGTTAGTTTTAGTAATTACACTTTTAATTAGATTTCTGATTAACTTGAGAAAAGTTGTCCACTGCTTTAATTTTCCGGGTCCAGTTTTTCACCGGATAGTGAACTGGCAATTTCACGCAACTAACTTTTCCTTCTTTCACTCGTTTTGGTAGGCGTCAAAGAGTAATTATTCTTCAAAAAAAGTCACTCAGCCTGAAAATCTACTTTTACGCTTCGATTCAGATATCATCAAGTCCCCCTAAAAACGCCTTTTTGCAAACATATTTTTTGAACACGAGAAACTAAAAGAGTCGTAAGCAATGCAGACTTTTACGGAATTAAAATTTTGGCTCTACCTAACAATTGCCCCCCCCCCCCCCCTTTTAAGAAAGGGGGCAATTGTTAAGTAGATTAAAATAACGCATTTTCGACCAATCAGAATGCAGCAAAATTTTAATTCTCAATAGAAAGCTCAGTGCTAATTTACTGCTTTTATTAATAGGGGTGGCAATTCTCGAGTAGATACCAAAGGGGGGCAATTGTTAAGTAGATCCAAAATTTTTCATAGGAGATGCTAGAAAGCATAATTTCATTTCTGAAAAAAAAGTGCAATTTCTACATATTTGGTGATTTAGAAGATTTGTTAAAACTATTTTGGACCAGAATTGTGTATAATATTGTTGTTTTTTTGTTGTTTCAGCGTGTCATTCTTACAACACAGCAGCGCAGGGCCTTCAAGGCGGCATTTGATCTTTCGTCTAAGCCGTGCAGGAAGGTGCGTGAACAGTTGGCAAGAGACACTGGACTGAGTGTACGTGTGGTACAGGTGTGGTTCCAGAACGAAAGAGCCAAGGTCAGTGCATTCAGCCGACACTAATTTAGGCCGAATGCGATTATGGAACATTTAAAAAAAAAAATCTGATACTATTTCATATGCGTAGCTTTCAAGCTTTTGAAAAAAATGAAGTTCACAGGAAAATTTGAAATTTTTAAATTTCTCTCAAATATAGAAAAATGGATAAATTGAAATTTTTTTTTTTCGTTTTCAGGTGAAAAAATTGGCCAAGAGACAACAACAGCAACAACACACTCACTTAGAATCGGGACTGGGTTCTCCACACTTAATGGATGATGGTGAGTTATATCATTATTTATATTTTTACAACTAATTAATTGATTAACTATAGTCTCCATGAGCATTTGTTACTTTCCTTTTCATTTTTATTCTTTAAAAAACTGAAAGGATTAACGAATCTTAGATTGTTTTTAGAAAGCGAAAGTGCTATTTTCTATTATTTGCTAACTAAGTCATCTTAATCTAACACGCAGTGCTTTTTCAGCCTTTTTTCACATTGGCTGTCATATTCCAGAAAAAATGATCCGAGGATTATCCATGAAAAAACATATTTTCCGTTTTTTTTTCAGCATGCAAGTAAAAACATGAAAAGAACAAGAGCTTTATCCAGATGTGTTTTGGCAAACAACCTCTTCCCAGCAAATTTTTCAAAGCAAACAAATTGCATCTAAAATTGAGCTTTCAATTAAATTTAACTAACAAGGAACAAGTGCTAATAAGTATAGGGATTGAAAAAGCAAAATGTTTCGTTAAATATACAAACGAGAACAAAATGTTGAAATGTCTGTTGACCAAAAATAAATAAGAAAAAAGTTTGTTCAGAGTACACTAATTCATGGGCGGACTTAGAACATTTTCAAAAAAAAATAGGCCATTTTTTGGTTGTCCACCAAACTAGCTGATTTTTCCAAACTCCAAAAAAACTAAAAAGCAAATTTCTGCACCGCTGGCAAATTGGTAAAAAACACCAAAATTGTTTTTTTTTATAGAAATTTCGCCCAAAAATTTCGCCCAAATTTCGCATTTTTTGACTCGATTCCTCCACCCACCACATCAAAAAAAGTACACAATGATCTCTTTGTTTGTTTATCTTAGCTTTAAAGTAAAATCTTTTGATGAGCTGTTCAATAAATATAACTTTACAAGCAAAAGCATAAACTCATTTTTTGGACATAAGAAAATTTAAAAAATCATAAAAGGGTTTATATTTGAAATTTTTTTCAGGTCAGTTCAGCGTCTTCATTCCCAACGAGGCTGGATTTCTGCCCCCTCAACTAGACGGAAGATTCTCTTCTCATCTTGCTCAATCAAATCACATAATCCATCCCGAGGGGGGACTTTATTCTCTCCCGCCGGGACTGAACGACATGTACCCCGTATGCTCTGGTCCCCCCATGGGCGGTGGAGGTCAAATTCCGAACGAATCCGAGTTCATAAACGCCACTTCGGATTTTCCCCAAATTCTAGACATGAAAGAATCGGAAATCTACAACTCGATGAAATTAGCCAATCAGATTTCGCACCCGGTTGACAAGCTCTATTCAATGCAGAATTCTTATTTCACGTCGTAGTAAAAAAGACAGTTTGAAACGTGATCGGTTTTCGTGAATAACTTTTCTCCGAAGTCACTCCAATATTCAATTTAAAGGCGCCAATATTTTTGACAAAACTCATCTTTAGAGATAATAAACTCTTAATAATTTAATAAATTTGTTTTGTTTTGGATAGAATATAGGTTATTTTTCTTGGTGTTGAATGCAATTAATGTTTTAGCAGCAAAAGCAGCAAATCAATCGCATTTAGTTGAGCAAATTTAAGTGCTATTTTTATGTTTCTTTTCTAGATTTATTCAATTAAAATTTATTCTGAAATATTTTATTACTGAAACTTTCTGGATAGGCGAAAAAAATTTGGATTCATGGCAGTTGTAAGCAATCTATCAGTTTCGTTCAATGTTCACAGAAGCTAAAACTTAAGCAAGAGGAAAAACGCTCAACGTTAAATGGCCTGAAAACAAAATATAAGATTTCATAAAGTTTTAATTCGCGGATATTTAGTCCGCCAATCTTGTATTCTGAAAGTTGGCCCTAAAAATTTTATTTTTTAACGACTTTCAGCAGCGAGATTATTTAGTGTATTGTTACAGATTAACTTCAAAGATCGAATTAAATTTACTCAAAAACATGTTCCAAACCGAAAATGATCGACGTTCAAGGCATATAATTGAACAGAACATTTCACAGGCAGTTAATTTAGGAGTAATGATTGGTCAAACTACAAGACTGAATTTGGCAAGATTTTTAACATTTATCTGTAACCCCTTTTATCATTTCAAAATTATTTGATTCCAAGTACTTCACTAACTTTCAAAAAACGCAAAACGCCTCATTTAAAACTTGATACTCAAGATAAAAAACTCTCGAAGTTTTTCGTTTGTAGTCAAACACATCAATTTTTTCTCGGAAAAAAGGTCGAGACAAGCTCAATTGAATTCAATCAAACTTATTTTCATCACCAAACATAAAGCTGTTTTGAATCATCGGCACACATTTTTTTCAGTGCGTTTGGAGAACAGAGAACAGGGTCTTTTTAGTGCGTTTGGAGAAATCAGTTTGTCCGACCTAGAAAGAGCTATTGCAAACTATTCATGACATGAATTGTCTCACATGAATTAAAGAAAAAAGCGGTAAAATCTTTTAATAATAGCATGATTTGTTCCGAACTAATGAGTAATAAATTTGACTTCAACAAAGTGACTTTTAAGTCATATGTTCAACAAATTGTCTTAAATATCTGGCGACCAACATTTTTTCTCGAAGTCTCAGAATTTACCCGCTCAAGGGAAAATCAGCCCCCCGTGGCAACTAGCCTTCACCCAAAAGGCCTCGCCTGATTCATCAAGCAGTTCTCGACAATCTCAAGGAACTCATCTGAAGTCTCAAAGGCCCCATCTAAATGTCCAAACCTCCAGGAGGAACTCAACATTAACATCTCAACTTCAAAAAACCCAGGCGAGAGTGTTTGAAAGTTTTTTTTTGGTCCTTTACATCCATTTTAAGCTTATGCTTGAAAGCTATAGTCAATTTACAAAACTTCTGGACCAAAACTGAAAAAAGCAGGCCTGATTAAATTTTTCAGTGAATCTCCCCCTCAATCAAAAATCATTGTGCTTGTGCTCGTCAGCCAAAACCCACATTGTGCTAGATTCTATTAATTGTGCTAAGCTTTTGTACAGTTTTTTATAAGAAATCTTCAACCTCCAATGTGAAAGGTTAGTGCTGAATTGGGTAAATTAATTTAATCCTCGGGGTACTAAGGAAGTGCCTAAACACAAAGAAAAAACAAGGTTCCCACTTAAACAAAAAAAATACTGATAGCCAAAACCCGATAGCCAAAACTTTCTAGCCCAAAACTAGCTGCTGCGAATTTTCAAAAGCCTATTTTTCCGAAACGTTCTCTTTAAACCCATATCTAAAAAAGGTTTTACTAGCCACATCTACAAAAGTTTTACAAAAATTTTGAAAGTCTCAAAAATTTTTTACTCATTTGAACTCTTAAAAAAAACCGTAAAAAAAAAGAAAGTTTCACCGCTTAGTCCTTAACCATAAATAAAAAGCTCATAACTGCGTGAGCTGTAGCTCACTTTGTTTAATTAACCACCGGGTTAACCCTCTGGCTGGTTGACTTTAACAAAAAATTAAACGTAACTTATAGTAAAAATCTTGAGAAAGCTCAAAAAAGCTTCATTACCGGTACTACTTTGCGATCGCTGCCATCCGAGCTCGTTAACTTTTAATACATCCTTTCTACTCTTTTTACTACTTTCTTGGATGGCTCCAACGAAGCCAACCTTACAACAGCTACTCAATCAATGGAGACGCCGCTACAGTACTTTCGAGGACCTTGAGGAAGAAGTAACGTAGCCGCGTTTTCTACTCAGGAAGCACAAGACTGCATCAACACTGCTTCAACGCTACGAAAACGAAAGCGCGACCTACTAATCAATGTTAGAAAATGTGAAAAGGTCTTAACAAACGATGGTTCAGTTTCCACAAGGTCAAACAGCCCACTTAGAGTGCAAGGCACATCTGCAACAGCCAGTATACCAGTAAGAATTACTACTGAAAGCTTGGCCAACAACTTCATCACTACGACGGCTGCCGACTTCTCAACTTACACATCCACCTACGGCTTGAGTACATTCGACTTAGACGCTCCCCAACGCTACAGTTTTCCACCTCTACCGGGAACCAACAGAGCTATGGATCAGACAATCAACGGTGTCATCACTACTTCTACAACTGATTTCAGATCAGTCTCATCGTCTGCAAACCCATGTACTTTCAACTTTCGAGCTCCTCTACGATAAAACTTCTCGCCTCCACCAGTTTCCAATGAAAATCACATTTGGAACGACAACTCAAGACACGAAGCCCAGATGTCAACTGGCAATAACCGATATGGTCTGCTAACAACTTCAATTGCAAATAGCCCTGCTACTACAACTGAACAGTTCGTTACCAACCACTTCAACGACCATCAAAGGACTATCCTACAATCACACGAACAACAACGCAACAGCCTTTTCAATAATGAACAAAGACAAGTCACCAACCACGCTACCAGTCATCTGACCACTGCCATCAACTACAGTTTGGAAGGATTCAAATTGCCAGATATAAAACTACAAAAATTTGACGGCAACCCACTGGAGTGGAACAACTGGTTCGAACTCTTCCAGACTGCGATTGGCAACAACCCACGCCTAACCCCGGTTGAAAAAATAACTTACTTGCAGTCATTATGCACTGATAATGCTAAATCTTTAATAGAGAGCTACGGAACCAATTCTTCTCAGTATGAACAGGCAATACTTGAATTAGTGCGTAGATACGGTAACCCAAAATATGTGGTGTCAGCGTTCATCAGGGAACTTGAAAAGTTTGACAAATTGATACTAAGCGAACCACAGGGCTTTATAAGATACGCTGCTTTCCTACGGAAACTAATCCACAACTTCGAGCTCAAGGGTTACACCGCAGATCTAAATTCTAGTAACCTGACCCGACTTGCTCGCTCAAAAGTCCCAGTAAATCTACTAATGAAGTGGGAAGAACACTGCGTGCTGCACGATCTCGATTATGCTACACTCAAAGACTTGGCGCAGTACCTCAATAACTACTCGCGAGCATGCGAGAGCCTGGATATAGAGCCCTCGACTCCAAACCAAGCGGGACGAAATCGCCAACCTATGAAACAACAACAACCCGACAGCCGACCCAACCAATTTACTTCTATGTCCAGGCAAAACTACGACAAATCTTCAGGCATATCAGCAAGACCAACAACTTTAACATGTCCAATAGATAACCAAATTCACTACGTTGCAAAATGTCCGGACTTTTTGAAACTTCCCTTAGATCAACGGGCAGAGCTGGTGAAGCAACATAAGCTGTGCTTCAACTGCTTAGGCCAACACAGATTTAGTGAATGTACATCGTCTAAGCGATGTTTCATCAACAACTGCGGAGGGAAACACCATTCAACTCTACACATCGACAAAAAACCGTTTCAAACGCACAACCAAAAATCAAATATTATGCAGCTTGGCACTACAGTAACCAAGCCCTGGGTACAAGCTGAGGATCCAATCCAAAATATGAACAACATCAGAAATCAGTTACAATTTATGCCGGTAACACTGTTTAACAATGGCATCAAACTAGATTGCTACGCCATACTCGACAACTGCAGCAGCTTCTCATATATCCTCAGCAAAACAACTGAAACACTTCAGTGCAATCCAAGCCAACAACTACAGCTTAGCGTACGAGGTACTTTCAGTAAGGACAAAGTGTCTTCCTCGCTGGTCCGGCTTGGTATCGGACCACATAACGCTACAAAACCTACTTTCACCCTACAATCAGTCTATTCAGTTGAAGCTCTGAGTTTTGACGCTATCGACGCAAACAACTTTAACAAAACGTGCTCACTCTACAATCACCTTCGACATGTCAACTTTCCTGAACTAGGCGACAACACAGCTCAAGTTTTGCTTGGCGTAGATGCTTTCTGGAATATTGCGGAGCGCGATATCAGAAAAGGTCCTACAGGCACCCCCTACGCTGTAAAAAACCTACTAGGTTGTACAATCACTGGCCCACTCAACTAGAAATCTAATAGTTCCGGATCAAATTCACACTCAACTAACTTCATTGATTTAAATGATCAAGAAGACGCTAATCTCACTAAATTAGTGGAAAATTTCTGGAAAGTAGAAGGATCAGGCATCCAGGAAGATAACAAAGCTACATACTCTGATAAAAGCAAACGACAACTAAAATTTATGGAAAAAAGTATTGAGCACGATGGAGATCGCTACAAAATAAATATACTCTGGAAAAACGAAATAAAATTGCCAAACAATTATCCGGTAGCTACAGCTCAACTGCTATCGCTACAAAAACGGCTCAGAATAGACCCTGAAACCATGCAACTCTATGACCTGGAAAATAACTACGTCAAGCCCGTTACTTTCCAATACCCACAACCTGAATTACTTTGGTACCTCCCACATCACCCTGTAACTAATCCAAACAAGCCCGGAAAGGTACGCAGAGTGGCCAACGCTGCCTCAACCTACAAGGGCGTCTCGCTGAACTCTTGCCTCGAAACTGGACATGACCTCCTGAACAACATGTTTGGACTTCTACTACGATTCCGGGAAAAACATGTGGCTGTATCGGCGGATATTGAAGGTATGTTTATGCAAATAGGTATTAAAGATGAAGATCAAAATGCGCTTCGCTTCCTTTGGCCTACTAAAAATGGTATCAAACAATACCAATACACGCGACTTATCTTTGGTGCAAAATGCTCACCATCCATTGCCATCTTTGCGCTTCATCAAACAGCTGCCGATTACTGCGTAACCAAACCCATTATTGCTCAACTGCTTCACAAAAGCTTTTACATGGACGACTTTGTTCACTCGTTCAACACGACACACGAGGCTAGAGACTCTATTACGCAATTAAAATCCTCCCTAAGACAGGGGGGATTCAACCTAACTAAATTCGTATCTAACACTAATGACGCAACCTACTCCATTGATGGAGGCGAAGTTTCTACTAATGCTACAGTGCATCGTGTTCTGGGTCTCAAATGGGACACAACTGACGATACGATATTCGTGCAACCAACAACCAAGCTAAATAATACTACATCATCTACACTCCGAACAGTTCTCTCTACAGTAGCAAGGGTTTTCGACCCCTTAGGCATCCTAGCGCCGTTTGTCATAAAACTCAAAATTCTTCTGCAAAACTTGTGGAAGTCTGGTATCTCTTGGGACAAAACCGTGCCCAGTGACTTTGTTCCGATAATTGACAAATGGGTTGACCAATGCAAACAAGTACCCCCTGTTAGACTGCCGCGCTTACTTGGTCCACAGTTGTCACCTAGTGATATACAGCTTCATGTTTTCTGCGACGCGTCGCAAGACGCAATGGCTACGTGCATCTACTTCCGAACTGCTTGTAGCTCTGGCATACACGCTACTTTCTTGATTGGCAGAACAAAGGTAGCACCACTGAACCAAGAGAGCATTCCTAAACTGGAATTACAAGCCGCCCTTATGGGTGCTCGGCTATGCAATTTCACTACTGATGAAATGCGATTAAAGCCCCACTCCACTCACTTTTGGACGGATAGCACTACTGTTCTGTCCTGGATCGCTTCACCTGGTAAACTGAAAACTTACTGCGCAAACAGAGTTGGTGCAATACTTACTTTATGCAAAGCCGAACAATGGAAACGCATCCCTGGTAGACTCAACCCAGCAGACAGTGCTACACGGGGAATTGAACTTAAAGACGTAGCAAAGCTCTGGTTGGTTGCACCACAATTTCTACTCAACAATGAGCCTATTTGGGGGACCAACGAAATAATGGAACAAAGTAATGCTACAACGGTTAGCCCCTCAACTACACCCTTAATCGATTCTTCCAGGTTTTCAGATTGGTTTCGATTAGTTCGGGTCACAGCTCGGGTTATAATTTTTGTCGATACACTTAAGGGAAATGGTAATCGTTCTACCACTATGGACGACCTAGAAAAAGCTAAGCTCCTCCTTTATCAACAATCCCAGCAAGAAACCTTTGGTGACACCTACAATCAACTACGAACCAAGCAACAAGTTGAAAACAAAGACAAACTGCAACAGCTGTCACCTTTTCTCGACAACGGTGTTATTCGCGCGCGAGGACGACTACGAAACTCACCTTTACCGGACGCAACAAAGTATCCAATACTTCTTAATGCAAAAGACCCAATTGTGCGTATGATGATCGAGAGCGCTCATCGCCGCTGCATGCACCACGGCACTGAGTACATTCGCAACTACCTGCAACAAAATTTTGTCATCATTGGGCTCCGAAAAACACTCAGACAGATAAGACATAACTGCTTTCTCTGCAGAAGATTCCAAGGCAAAGGGATACATCCACTCATGGCCGACTTGCCGCCAACTCGTTTCGACGATCCGTCTGACGACCCATTTCCGTTCAAAAACACAGGAATTGACTATATCGGGCCATTCTACATAGCAACAAAGGATACAACTGAAAAAAGCTATATTTGCCTCTTCACATGCCTCTCTACTTGCGCTGTTCACCTGGAATCGACAGACAACCTTCTTACGAACAACTGTATAACGGCAACTAGACGTTTTATTGCTAGGAGAGGCACACCTAAGCTTTTAATCTCTGACAACGCTACGTACTTCGTCGGTGCGCGTAAACAACTACGCTCAGAACCAATCAACTTCAACGAAACCACCGTAACTGAAACGCTACAAATCCACAATGTTGAATGGCGCCTAAATCCTCCGGCTGCCCCCCATTTTGGCGGCGTGTGGGAGCGACTCGTCTCATTGATAAAACGAGCATTCTTACTAAATCTCGGTTCTGATCGACTATCAAGAGATCTATTTGCTACTATCATAGCCGAGACCGAGGCAATCCTCAACTCACGTCCGCTAACTCATGTCAGTAGCGACCTTGACGACGACCTTCCACTGACAACCAACCACTTCTTAATGGGTCGTCCATTCGTCTACGCTCCAGCAGCAGCCTTCTACGAAGCATCTAAAAGTGAGCTGTCCAACAAGTCCTGGAAGCGAGCAAAAGATAGACTTGACAGCTTCTGGAGGCGTCTACTTAAAGAGTACGCTCCGACTCTCATCAGAAGGACTAAATGGACGCAACCCGAGGAACCACTCGAAAAAGATGACCTCGTGGGGATACTTGAGGACTTTACACCACGAGGCATCTGGCCAATGGGTCGAGTGTTAGAAGTTTTTACCGGCTCGGATGGCATCGCGCGCTCATGTAAACTGAAAACAGCCCTAGGTACTTTAACGAGACCAGCGGTGAAACTTGCCCTCGTAACCCCAAAAAAGAAGATTTAAGACCACTTTAATTGTTTTACAACAACAACAACAAAAAAAACTTGGCTCAACTCCTTCCCCTTCGGTTCCAAATAAGATCTCCCTCCCCCGAGGATATTCATGACATGAATTGTCTCACATGAATTAAAGAAAAAAGCGGTAAAATCTTTTAATAACAGCATGATTTGTTCCGAACTAATGAGTAATAAATTTGACTTCAACAAAGTGACTTTTAAGACATATGTTCAACAAATTGTCCTAAATACAAACCTTTCAAAATTTTTTCGGAAACCTGCCCCGTACAAACAAAATTCCTAGATCTGCCTCTGGGCACACATAGACAATTACTCGCAATGTCCAGTTCTTCAATTTTCGACTGCAGCTATTTTTTTCAGGAGAATTTGAGCTGTTAAGCCTACACTTCTCGCCCATTTCTTGACTACTCTTGGTCCTTCCGCTTCATAAATTTTGTTCAATTGTCTTTTCTTTCGTGTGCTCAGTTTTCTCTGTTGTACTGTTTTGTTTCTCGGCTGAATCGAATTTATGAATTAAAGCATCCCTACTTGATAAAAAAAGTTGATCTATCTCCCGTATAAATTTCTCCTTAGTTGGTCTATAATAGGGTTCGTCTTTTGTTCTATCTTGAACATTTATATAAACAACGGGCTGACGCGATTGGGTACTTAAGATCGTTTCTGAATAAAATTTTAACGGGAGAGCCAGAGCTTGTGGGTCAAACTTTGTGGCGTTGGCTATATACTTTGATAACGAGGAGTTGTCGTCATCTAGGTGTCAGTCTTCAACTAAATCTGGTGAGTCCCAGTCATTTTTCCTCTCTCTCTCTCTCTCTCTGCATATAATTTTTCTCCCTTTATCTATGAATAACAAAACTTTGTTTGATGAAAGATGTTGGGCTAACTTCTGCCATATAGTGTTCCGCGATCTTCTAAAGTGTGCTCCAAAAGGCAATTAATTTAGCGACTGTTATAACTATTTTCCTTGACAGTTAAGAGTTTCAATAGAGCTATTTCCATCTGATGTTGCTTCAACTTAAAGCTGAAAACGTCTAAAATATGAACCATTTCTTTTCTCCTGTCTTGAAACCCTTGACAAAAAGTTTATGCCTTACTTGCTATACAGAACTAGCAACAAAAAGGCCATAAAACAGGAGAGACAGGAGGATATTCTAAAACACGAAAGTTATTACAAACTTTATTCGAAAAAATTTTATGTTGTTTGAGGAAGTATAAATTTTGATGGCAAACTCGTCAATCCCTGTACTTAAGATCAACCATGTAATAAGGTTTACTTTAAGCGCCTGCCGGACAATCCGGTATTAAATGTGTAGCAATTGAGTACATATGGTGGCCAAAGGTATCCCGCGAAAAAATTGCATGGCAAAATTGAACCGATTGGGTGACAGAAGGTAAAAAATGGAAACCTATAACCACTCAAGTGAGCTTGAGAATATTGATTTCGGTCGTTATACCAAATCAAGAAAGGTTGGCATTAGGTTTTGCTGGAGAATTACCAAAGGTTTTGTGGACCAAACTTTTAATTTTGTTGGGCATATTTGCGCTTTCTAATTTTCCTTTATCGTAAGCACTATCTAGTTCTTCCTTCGAATCCATCTTAAGGTTTCTTCGAAAGTATATCGCATTACACGGAATTCCAAAATCAATTCGGACGGACCAAAGGTCGGATTTTTTTTCCAAGTAGGTGTGAAAGTTTGCCAGTATCAAGTTATAAAATTGAGTTTTGTCCCGATGTGAGTTCACAAAGCAACGGTTCAGAATGGAAGGCTAATTAGAAACATCAAAAATGGAGTTTTCGTTATGGCCCCACAAAACCCAAAACCACAGCTGAGATTATATCTAATATCTAATATGCAGCAATTGCTAAACTACTAGACTCTTAAAGCACACTTCGGGAGACCACTGAAGACATTGTTGCCCAACTTAGTCAGACATCCTTCATGAAACAACCAAGACTGGAGAAAAATATTGTTATTTATAGAAAAGGAAGAAAACTTAAGCGCAAAAACAGAAGGCCGACTTGGGCGCCACCAACTTTATCAAAGGTGGAACCATAGATAATGACTACGTGTCGTCTTCAGAGTACTTAGCCAGCGCTACAATTTTGGCCCCACAAGTTCTGGCTATCTGAGTATTGTCCTATCCAGAACAGAAAAAAGGAAAACATTAGAGATCGCCAACTAAATTTTTAATGAAATTTTAAATTAGAACAAAACTGCTCGTATCAGGGCGAAGCCCTGAATGTTCCGACTGCCTTTTAAGGTTTATGGAGCAGCAGAAATAACATAAAAAAATGAAATAAAATAAAATAAAAATTTTTTTTTTCGAAAATTTGAAATTTTTTATGAAAATCATCCCCCCACACGCCATATAAAGTACAAAAAGATAAAATTCGTTCCTTGTAACAAATCAATAATGGCAAATAAGCTTCGTTCAACCAATTTGGAACGATTTATAAGACGGATTAAATCTCCGCTTACGCGTTAATAGCGTGAATTATATATCGCGCGTTAATTGTCCCAAATTGGTCAAAATGGCCAAAATGGCAATCTCTAAACCCTCATAACTTTACGAAAAATAATCACAGGTGAAATATTTTTTTCAAATTTAAGCTCAGGACAACAATACCTTTTGAATGATATTAAAAAAATCCGTCGAAAATGGCTAGTTAAAAAGTCGAAATTTGTCTGAAGAAAAAAAAACCCACCCCGAGCACAAATATTCCGTTACTTTCGTATCAAAAGTCGGAACAACAAAGAACGATTGCTATTATAAACTACTAAAGGAGAAAAAAGTGAAGGAGACGGATAACACATTTTATTTTAAAAAGGAGGTGAATTATTCCGTAAACTTGAAAAAACTTTTATTATCAAAAAAACCGAGCGCTCGAAAGAAAGGAAAGTTCAGTTGATCAAAACCTATGCAACAAAAAGACCAAGATAGATGAAGAAAACGGCAAGAAATGTTATTCTTCGAAGCTCAAAACTCGAAGCCCGTTGTTTATAGAAAAATTTAAAATAGAACAAAAAACGATTTCTACTATAAACTACTTAAGGCGAAAAATATGAGGGAGACGGATAACAAATTTTACTTTAAAAAAGCGGTGAATTATTCCGTAAATCTACTTTAACCTTGAAAAAACTATTATAGTCGAGAAAACCGAGCGCACGAAAGAACGATCAGTTAATCAAAACCTATGCAACGAAAGGACCCAGATATTTCATGAAAATTGCGAGAAAGGTAATTTTTCAAAGCTCAAATTTGTCTAACAACGGAATAAATAGTCTTGATGAACTTGACATGGCGTGAAGAATCGCTGCGCTGCATTGAACAGCGCGCACGAGATTCTCTTAGGAGAAGACGAAGGGGATTGGCGATGTTGGTGCGTACCAAGGGGGTGTAGTTAACCCATCGGAACATTCCGAAAAAAAAACGGAAAATTGAAATTCAAGACCAGTTTTTTGTACTATTAGAAAAATCAATCAAAATTGTTGATTGAACCTCGAGTACAAACCAGGATACGCATACTGGAATCAACGAACCAGAAACAAAAACAGAAGGGTCGGCTAATCGTGCTTGCAAAATTTCAACAATTTACCTAAAAAGAATATACGCCCCACAACCGAAAGCAAGCTGCATCCAACTTATGATCATACACAAACCTTAGCCGACAACATACAAAGACAGTCAATGAAGTTATTAGATAGCCCGGAAGAAGATAAACGGTACCCAATAGAGCCAATGAAGACAGCGCACAATCCAAACATTACTCACTCAACATCGGAAGAAAACCATCTGGGAGAAGTAGCCCGCGGGTTGGCCCGCAAATTGTCTGTTGAGGGAAAATAGAACTCATTTCTGGCACTTTAATTATCAGGTATTCTCGGGTGGCAAAGAAAAAAGCACCATCGCCGACAAACTCACCTCCATTATCCAAACAGTCCGAATTGTGAAAATACGGTTTCGATAGTTTAAATTGATCCAGAGAGATAAGTAACCGTATGTTAGAAAGTTAGTCGGAGACAATAAATTGGCGGTCATCCGAAGGTGACAGACAAACTCCGAAGGTTAAATACCAGTTAGCGCCAGACAGCTAAATGAATTAAGTAGCACAACTAGAAATGGAACATGAACTAATTTAGATACTATGACATTTCCCTCCTAGTAAAATTCATGACTCTAATTAAGTTATCCAATGAAATGCTGTTATCAATAAATCAATAGGAATCATAATAAGTTTTAAATAGAGTTTTGTCAATCAACTACCCCAACATTTTGAAACGTAAACTTTTGAGTTTTTGCCGTTGCACAGCATGCCCTCTCCCTGGACCTCCACATTTCAGAAAGTTTTATAAGTTTGTTACTCATGTTCTTTTTACTCTTTTTCTTCAACTGCTCCCGCTTTGTCCGTCTTTCTAATGTTGTCAATTATGACTGCCCCCATCTTAGTCACTGCTGTTCGTTTCCTGCCCGACCGTCTTGAACTAGTTTCGTCGACTGAACTAGCCGAATCTTGGCTTGAATAGGAAACAAATCGTTGTTTCAGACCCCGCTTCCCCCCCCCCCCCCCGATTACTGGCATTTGTTCTGCCTCGCGCTCCGTCTCTTGTGGTTCGATTCCTTCGGTATTTTTTCTTCCCCGATCATTCCCGATTTCTGTTTCACGTGCCAACGTGTACTCCGTTGCCGTCTCATAATTGCTGGGACGAACTGTGATGATTTCGGGTTGAACTTGATCCGGTCCCCCACTAGATGTTCCCTGTCCATCTTCTCCACCGTTTGCTCGCCCACTTGTCTGTTTACCAACTTGTTTAGTTGTGCTTAACGGTAAATGGTCCTCCGACTCTGATTCTGAGTCTTCTGCGAATTCCAAATTTTGGAATCGTGATCTCTTCCCCATGGTGCAGTGAAAAGTTCCCTTGGTGCCTTTCGAACTGACTGGTTGATTGCTACTCGTTAGTAGCTTCCGTTTCAAATCCCACGGAT